TGCAGGGTCGTGGAATCCTCTCTCTGAATGAAGGTTCTGGCGCCCTTGGCCCTGGACTCAGCCCTCATATTCCTCCTTTCTCTTCTCCAGCCCCATGGTCCACTTCCTGCCCCCTTCCCAGACAGGGGCCCTGGGGGATCTGGATCCACAGTCTCCAGACCTAACGTTCTGAGTGCACCGGTACCCTTGTCCTCTCCTTTCCATTTCTCCCTGCCAGGGAATCTGAGGGAAATTCTCAGATCTAGAAGGATTCTTGTGCCCCGGTGGCTCACACCTGTAGTCCTAGCTACTCAGGAGGCAGAGATCAGGAGAATTGCAGTTTGAAGCCAGACAGAGGCAAATAGTTCAAGAGACCCTATCTCCAAAAACCCAATACAAAAATAAGACTGGCAGAACGGTTCAAGTGGTAGAGCGCCTGCCTAGCAAGCGTGAGGCCCTGAGTTCAAGCACACACACACACACACACACACACACACACACACACACACACAAAAGGACCCTGATGTCTGAGAACCTGACACCCTGCAGGGGACTTGATAGGGCTGTTTCTACTTCAGGGTCTTGACCTTCCAGGTCCCCGGGCTTGGAATGTCCCTCTCACTACTCAAACTCCAGGGCATCCCAGGCGCCTCCTCAGATGAACCTTTCTCTGGACGTCCAGTAGCCCCCCCCATCACTTCCTAACACCCCATTTTCCCGTTCTGGTGAAACTTTTCACCCCTGAAATTGCGATGATTGTTTGCTGGTTTGTGTTCCCAGCACTCGGGAACAGCACATAGTGGTCCCTGGGCAGATGGATGAATCGGTCTGCACCTGACGGTTCTCAAATTCTACCCCAATTTTTACGTGAGAAAAAATTAGGGGAGAAGACCCTGAGCGCATCTGTCCCGGTCGCTCAAGTGCCCCAGCAGTGTGGGGGTCAGAGGGAGATTCCGGGCGGGAGAGGAGGGGCGGGGCGGAGGCGGGGCAGGGGGCGGGCCCGAGGCTTAAACCCAGCACCCGTGGGGTCCCCGCCCCAGAGCGCGGAAGAGGCCGAGCGGAGCGCTGAGCGGAGGCCGGGCCCGGCAGCCGCTCTGCCTCCCCGGTCTGTCTGCACATCTCCGACGGCCGCACCGCGGGCTCCTCCCGGCGCCTGAAGCCACGAGCATGACGCCCCGGGGAACTCACTGAGCTCGAGGTCTTGGCGCCTCGGTCGGCACCATGGCCTTGGAGAAGGCGCTGCAGGCCGCACGGAAGGGCGACCTGGACATGCTGAGGTCCCTGCACGCCGCCGGCCTGCTGGGGCCCTCGTTGCGCGACCAGCTGGACGCGCTGCCGGTGCACCATGCGGCCCGCGCGGGCAAGTTGCACTGTCTGCGCTTCCTGGTAGAGGAGGCTGCTCTGCCCGCCGCGGCCCGCGCTCGCAACGGCGCCACACCGGCCCACGACGCCGCCGCCACAGGCCACCTCGCCTGCCTGCAGTGGTTGCTGTCGCAGGGTGGCTGCAGAGTTCAGGTGGGTCCGCCCCGCTCACCAGGCGCCCTGGCACTTACTTCCCCGGAGAGGGTCTGAGCCAATTGCCCCACCCCGTGGCTCAAGGGTGGGTGGAGTTGGGTCCTCCTGGCTCAGCTGAGTCCTGCACGGATCTGCTTCTAAGAGGGCTTTGGATGGGGTGGGCTCCCCAGGCTGAATATTTGGACAGATGCCCTGCCTGCTCCCTCTAAGAGCACCTGGGTAATACCAGGGAAAACAGGGAACTAGGCTCACTGGGGCTGGTATTTCCTGGGAGATGCTAAGCATTGATCCTGGAGTGGGGTACTTGGTGTGTGAAGGGCCTGGACTGCAGAATCAGAAGACTGTGTACTCCAGGATTAGGTCTAGAGGGAGAGGGGGCGGAGTCCCACAGTCCACCCCAGGCTGAGCTGCCCCAGGTTGTGGGGGTGTCTTTCCAGGACCTATGTGAACCCAAGGACAACAGCATCTTTAGGTCTCCCAGCTGCAAACTGTTTCTCAGCCCAGCCTGGGTGTTCTTATCCCCACATACTACATGGTCACTCTGAGAAGTGACCTCTCAGGGAGTCCTGGCTGGTGAGATCAGAGAGTTCTGAGCATAGAGAACAAGCAGTGCAAAGCCCTGAGGTATGCACATTCTTGGCCTGCTGAAGAGTGGCAAGGAGTGGGGTGAGGATGGGGAGGCCATGGGACCAGGCCTAGAGGGTCTCCTGGGCTGAGGTAGGAATTTGGATGCTATTCTGGTTGTGGGAGGCAGCCAGAGAGGGGAGGGAGCAGACCTGATTTTCCACCTACAAAGAGCCTCGGGTTAGCTCTAGATAGAAGGGGAGGGGAGGAAGCAGGGGCAACTCTAATCTGGGTTGTTGTAACAATGGCCTGACCCACTCTACCTCCTGCCCTCCAAGGGCAAGCCCTCCCTTCCCATCCTTCCTGGGAGATGTGCAGCCCTTATCTCCTGGCCATCCCTGTTATCAGGGGTTCCTGGTCACATGGCCCATGCCCATGGCCCACTGATCCCTGTGTCCACTGTTGGTCGGAAGCCTCCCTATCCTCCCAGAACCTGGTGTCCAACTGTGGCTGGAAGCCTCCCTATCACTGCAGAGAAGGAGGAGGAAAAAGTGACCTTGTGCCCAGTTTATCAAGTCTGTCCTCCAGCTCCACCAGGCTTGGGTGCCGGGGGTAAGGGGGGCAACCTCCATCCCTGGTCCTGCCTAGCCCAGAGAGATAAGCAACTTAGCATATGGACACAACACATGAGGCTCCTGGGGCCTACACAGTTGGTGGTGCCTCAGTGACAGGCCAGATCCCATGGACCTGTGACTTTCTCCATACCCCCACTGCCACCCAGAAGCCCTGAGCCATTGGGACCCCTTAGAGTTTCAGACCCACAGTCCCCAAGACCAATGGGAAAGGAGGACCTTCTTAAAAGCTGAGACTCTGGACATACTTCACCATGGTCCTGCTCATGTCACCTCTAGCTAGTCCCAGGGGGACAGAACCATACTCTGCATACCCAAAGCACACAGGAGAAGCCTTAATGTCTTCCTCAGCTTCCTGTGGGCCATTTACTGTCTGCCCCATAGTCCTCCCCAACTCCTTGGTGGGACAGTCAGTCTGTTGCCCCCACACCCACAGCCTGACTGATGAATTATGACCTGTGGCCCCTGGTGCCTTTCCTTCCTGAGGGATGCTCAGAGACCTTCCTCAGGGAGTCTGGCCAAATCCTGCTGCCTTGGCCATAGCTGTCCCCACAGTGCCCTCTTCCTGGGTAATGAGGAGCAGAGAGGCCTCATTTCCCTGGTCCCAGTGGACCATGTCCACCTCTCACTGCTGCCCAGCCTCCTCCCCTGGTCCCCCCACCTCTCAGTTGTCCCGTGGTCTTGGGGCTGGGAGGTTGCTCAGTTCTACAACAGCAATGTCAACCTACCTGAATGCAGACTGGACATCTGGATTCTCAGTGATTCTCCCTCCTGCCCAGGAGCAGCCTACAGCCCCTTCCCCAACAGACACACAGAGTGGTGTGCTCGGAGGCAAATCCGGCCCAGAGGTTCTGGGGCATCTGCAGGGGTTGTTGCCCAGCCCCTCCCATGGGCCACCACTAACACACACCTCCACCACTGGCAGGCTGCCCCAGGCCCTCGTCTCCAGTACCCAGGAACTTCCTCCCCCACAGGGCAAGAACACAGCCTGTTCTGAAGGCCAGGGGAGTCTGTAGGAGGGCCAGTGCACCATGGCGGAGGCCTCTGTCCCTCTCATGTGACACCTGGGGAGGGGGAAAGAGGAAAGGCAATGGTTGAATGCAGGGTGCACTCCCCAATTCTGATGCTTCCCACCCTTCCTGAACCTACTCAGTCCAATGATGGATGTACTCACTTGTTCAGGTGTCCCTTGAGTATCAGGGCTATGACCCTGAGCCTAGAAGGGCTCCTGCTGTGACTCAGGGTGCCATGTGCTGGAAGCCCCCTGTATGTAGCCACCTCTCAGATGTGCCCATCAGGCTTCTGAAATTGGTTATGAGCTGAGGGTCAAAGCACAAAGACAGAAACAGGATTCAAATTCCTGGTTTTAGCTTGAACCCAAAACCATGCTGAGCAAGGTATGGCCACTCCCTCAAGGGAGAGCAGAGTGGACAGAGCTGTTCCCTGCCCAGGGAGGCTGGCAGTAGTTTGAGCCAGCATAGGAGCAGGCCTATGTTGTAGGACTTTAATCAGCTGTCTTCCTACAGGACAAAGACAATTCTGGTGCCACAGTCCTGCATCTAGCTGCCCGCTTTGGCCACCCGGAGGTGGTGAACTGGCTGCTGCGTCGTGGCGGTGGGGATCCCACCATGGCCACAGACACAGGTGCCCTGCCTATCCACTATGCTGCCGCCAAAGGAGACTTCTCCTCCCTGAGGCTTCTTGTCGGGCACTACCCTGAGTAAGGAATCTCCTCTTTTATTTTGTGGTGCTGGGGATCTAACCCAGAGCTTTCCTCACTAGGCAAAAGCTCTATCCCTGAGCTATACCCCCAGGCCAGGACCTCCCTCTTAAGCAGGTTCTGGATGGGGCGGTCAGAGCTCTGGGGGATACCTACAGTCCGCCATGCTTGTCCAGCATTCCAGGGGAGTGACTGCTCCAGCAGCCATCCTAGTGGCCAGAGACATCTTGTATCCAAGTGTACAATTTCTCCCCTTCCTGGGAGCCATTCTGGGAGCCCACAGTCACTTGCTCCAGGCTTCCCAGCCTCCAGCATCCAGCTCAGAGCTGGACTTAGGAGGCAGGTCAAGGTCACTAGTTCCCCTCCAGGGTGCCTGCTAGCTGGAGAGGCAGCTAGTTCCAGCTCTGGCCTGTGCTTGTTTATAAGATAGCTCTAAATGACAGGGGTAGGCGCACCCCTAGACTCCTAGTCCACCAGGTGTAGGAGGGGCCACATCAATTACCAAGCAGGTAAGGGGACAGCTGCCCTCCCAGTGCCTCCGCACCTTCTAGTCCCAGAGCTTTAGCCAGGCCATCCAGAGAGCAGCTGTCATTTCTGTAATCCCCTAAATCCATTCCCACCACCATGGGGGAATGGGGCTCTCAAACCACCCCTACCCCCAGGTGGGGTGCTTTAAGAAAGCGGTGGAGTGAGCAGTGGGCTGGGAGCTCCTGGGATAGGCTGGGGCTCACTGAAGAGCAGAGTCACATGGGGGTAGTGGTGTACGGAAGGGAGCCAGGTCTTAGGTACATCAGGGGTGGGGGCAGGAGTCCTAGGGGAGAGCATTCAGCTTCTGTCTGTGGACATGGAATGCCAGTAGCTACCAGGAACCTGAACCCAGGGGGGGCTTGTGGCCAGTGATTCTTATCAGTCTAAGTGGGTGGGGCCAGCCTTGGGAGGAAAGCAGCATTAAGGTGAGAGGGTCTGGCCCACCACTGGTCCATTCCTGAGGGTGCCTCTGCCACTGGCCACCAGGGAGCAGGCTGGAGCTGGCAGCCTCTTGGGCCCATGTACACTGATGTGAACATAGGACAGCCCTAAAACCCAGCAGGCAAGTCTCCAGTTGTCCCCTTGGCCCAGGACAGGCAGGCTGAGCCTAGTTCTGCCCTCTTGGATTGGCTTCTCTGCCTGGTTGTGGGACAGCCAGCAGGTGCTCACCTGGGGTGTGGTTCTCCAGACAAGCAAAGGTTTGGGTCATGTCTGAGTCAGTGGGATTTAAAGTAGGGAGGCCTCAAAGACCCTGGAGTGCAGGGTCCTGCCAGGCTCCATTGGCAACCCTGGGAGACTTTGGCTCAGAGTTCTGTTAGACCCTCCAGGTTGGGGACTGGGAGTTGTGCCTATGGCATGTCCTGGGCCCCATGGCTGTGGTTCTGATGAGCCTGTCTTACTCTACACAAAAAGTCCTAAGGTGTGTTTGGGGTGTGGGGAGAGGTCATGCAGTAAGGAAGCATTCTCACACTGCCAGCCTGCCTGTCATACCCATTGTGCCTATGGGGCCAGGCTGAATGACAAGACCAATAGAGTCCCGCTGTTTGAATCAAGAGGGCTCCTAGCCTGTCCCTGCAAGTGACGATGAGGATCACTGGGCCCTGGGCTTTCCTCACCAAGAAGCCGGGGCCTGGGATAAACCTGAACATTCTGTGGGTTGGAGCCCAGACCCTCCGTGGGCTTGGGAAGACTTGGGCTGTGCTGAGGCTCTCCAGGCTTAGGGACCCTGACCCTTTCCCAGGGTGTGTCAGGTGCTGAGCGTGGTTGCATCCTGGTGGTGCCAACTCTGTGGCCAGATGGCCTGGCTGGTGAGCTATGAGACCCCCAGGGACCACCATGAATCTGAGAGAGGAAGACAGAGGGTTTGGGCTCCATTCCCTGCAGTGGTGTGGAACCTGGCTGATAAGGAAGTGTCTTTGTGTGGTTGCCAGGCTGGACTCAGGCAGGAGGGGAGCTGGGGGCTGGTGTGCCCACTTAGCATTCCTGCCTTGAGGGTGGAGACTCCTGCTCCCCAGGGCTTGTGGACAACAGGGCCAGAAGCTGGGAAAGGCAGAGACTGGGCTGCCTCAGGCTACAGGGTCCATCAGAGGACACAGGAGTCCCTTTTCTGGTGCTTGTGGCTTCATGCTCTCGTGAGTCTCCCAGGCCTGCTGTGAAGCTCTATGAATTATTCACAAGGGCTCAGCTCTCTCCCTGGTGAGCTGGTGAGGGAGGAAGGGTGCCCATGCCTACCGGTGGGAAACTTGATCCTGTCCAGGGAGGCTATGGGTGACCATGGGCCATGGCAGTGACAAGTTGCAGAGGAGCTGGAGGGTTGGACAGCCTTGGGGGAGGACCCAACTAATGCCAGGGCTATGCCTTGGGGTGTTACAAAGGGCTGGCCATTTCAGGAACACCCTGCACCCATTCCCCCTGTCTCTAGTTCACTGAGCCAAATCTTCCCAGCAGAGGGCTTGCCACAGTGACCTCTGGGCTGCTGTCCCTGGAGAAACCCTCCCTCTGAACCTCTTGCAGAAAGGACTGGGGGTTTCCTAAGCTCGTTGGCATGGAAGCTGGCAGGAGTTGGACTGGGGCTCTCCCAAGCCGTGGGTCTAAAGGAGATGGAGTCAGGTGGCTGACCCTCTTTGGCAGGAACCCAGGTGGCTGGTGACAGTGATCAAATAGTCTGGGTCCCCAGCTGGGGCTGACTGAGAAAGGACAAAAAACAGGCATCACTTACAACCTCACCCAGAAGGATCTTCAGACCCAGGAACTGCCTCCTGATTGCTCTACATCCCCATGGCTGCTTCTCACTGTCAGGGGGCCTAAACTGCTGGATGGGAGCCTGGGCTCAGTGCAGACTTCAAGGCCTGAACTTTGAGGCCAGGGAGACCAGGGAGGCTCTGGGCTTGGGCTTTGCCAATCAAAACAAGCTGGAAGACCAGCTGGCCCAAAGATTTTGATCAACTCCATCCCTCCAGGGTTGCCCCATCCCTGGAACTGGGCAGGAATTGGAAGTGCCCTGGCCAGGAATCAGTGTAAACCCCAAAAACCTCCTACCTGCTGAGTGCCAGCTGGGAGCCTGGCACCAGGTAGCATCATCTGAGCCTTACAACCACACTAGACAATAACTCTCTAAGGAGGCCATTTTACAGGTTGGTTTGTTCTGCTAATAATTATCGAGTGTCTACTATGTGCTGGGTAATATTCTAAGTTCCAGGGATACATTGGTGAACCCGGCAGATGTCCCTGCCTCTCATAGAGCTGACAGACAGAGACATGATGTCTCGGAGAAGCTGACTGGCCAGCTGGTCACCACTGGTTTTCTGTGTGGCCTTGCACACCCCCCACCCCTTTGGGTCTGTATCCTACTCCTGGTCCAAGCCCTAATCTCTCAGAGCCTTTCAAGTTTTCTGGGAACTTCCCTTTTTTCCTTCTGGAGTACAAAGCTAAATCATGGAGATTTATGCTCCTGAAGTTCAGCTGCACATGATGGGTTCAGACAGCCCCTGAAGGGGCAGCAGGGCTTCTCGGGAAGCTCTAGCCACTGACCCCTTGAGAACCCCAGGGCCCATGGCTCAGCTCACCCCCTGAGAAGGCTGGAGCTTCTACCTGGGCTGGGAGGCTGCCCTCTACCTGCTGGGCATCTGTTAGACCATAGATAGCAGGGGCTCCTTCATTTGTAATCACCGCCCCCAGGTCTACCCTAGGTATTTGACAGGTGATCTGGGCAGCAGGGTCTGGGGGCAAGGCCTGTGCTGCCATGTCCAAACTGGGGAAGGTGACAAGACCCTTGTCCTTCTGACCCAGGTGGAGGCTCTGAGGAAAGAGAAGGTTGGTGGAGTCAGGGAAGCCCTTGTCATTGGGGAGAGGGGCCATTCCTCCTGCTTCTGCCATAGCTCCTGGCCCCAGCCTGTTGTCTAACTGGGGATGGAGCAGCAGCTACAGATGGGTCTCCCCATCCCCATCCAAGACCTTACCCATTCAATTCTGTCTACAATCTTTGAAAATGCAAGTCATACCATTTGGCTATCCATGGGCTCCTGATGCAGTGACAAGGAAGGCTACCTCCTTATGGCCCTCCCTTCTGGCTCTAGTCTGCTGTTACCTCCTCTGTCCTCCTCTCACCTGCTGCTGCCCTGCCCCCTGGCCTTATTTTATATTATATTATATTATTATTATTATTTTGCAGTACTTGAATTCAGGGCTGGGCAGGCGCTCTATACCACTTGAGCCATTCAGCCAAACCCCAGTATAACCTCCCTGGCCTCTTTGCTGCCCCTCCTACAGGCTAGTGCCCTCCAGTTTTGCACAAGCATTCTCTCTGCCTGGACCTCCTCCCAGAGCTGCAGCTGTTCCCTGCTCTCCTTCAGCTTTTGCTCAGATCTCACCTCTCAGCAAGGCTAGTTTGCCTGTTCAGACTATAAGCCATCCCCACAACACACTCAATCCTCCCTGCCTTATTTTCCCTGTCAGCATTATCGTTAGCCGGCATTGCACTCTGGGTGCCTGGTGTGTTCTTACTGTCTATCCCGCTGACTAATGAGGCCGGAGTCTTCGTCTTCCTCACTCTGTGTGCCCAGGGCCTGACTTGCACTGAACTTTTGCTGAATGAATGAGGAGTTTGGAATCCCCAGGTCTTCTCCGGCTCTGCTTACAATTCACTGTACGTGACCTTGATGAAACTCTGTTTCTGGGCCTCCCTGTGCCCATCTGGCAAATGGACCCATTCTACCCTACCAGGCTGAGGCCATGGTGAGCACATAGCTCCTGGCTTGGCTGTCCCTTCTCCCTCACTTACACATTTACTCATTCAACAAATAGCTGAGCTATCTGTCCAGCCCATCAGCACTGGGGATACAGCATTCCTGGCTTTGGAGGAACTCACAGGGACAAACAAGGAGACAGAGCCAGAGCCTATGTCCATACTCCATTCAGACACACATGTTTATTGGTTGGAGGGCTGGCTGTCCCAGAAGAGGGGCCTGTCCTGC